TTCCCATACTTAATACCTTGCATTTATCTGTATTTACAATGTCATACATTTCATGCTGAGCTGTGTTGCCCACCAGGAAGCTCGCAGGTTGTTCTTGGTATCTGGCATCCACCTGATTGGGCTCAAACGCATGCTTTTTGGATGTCAGTGACCAACTAGTGACTATCCTCCTTCACTTATGGCACATAAGACCTGTGCAAACAGTCCTCCTTTATGGATCTGAGCTGGGGATTCCTCTGACCCATCTGCAAAGTCCAGGATCAGGCAGTGAGGTGGATTTGTGGAAAACACAGGAAGCAGCTACAGGGAGGAGGGCTCTGGACTACACTGACCTGTTGCTAAGCACCCTGGAGGGGAGTCAGCTTTGCAGCGGGCACATCTGCAGGCACATTCCAGGCAGGGTGAAACCTTGGGCAAGTTTCCTTACTCCACACCCTAATAATAATCCCTCCAAAAACAAAAACAATAATAAATTGGTAATTTTCAATCCACGACTGTTTGTGGGACACTGCTGTGCGCAATTGTCTGCCACGTTTCGCCCACAGATATACGGTCAATTCACTTTACAGCATATTCTGTGAAGCGCTTTGAGATGTCTAGAAGATGTGAAAAGCGCTATATCAAATGCAAGGATTATTATTATTATCATCTATTTGCCAAGGCCCCTTGCATGAGGACCTGGATTGAGCGGCTAATGGTGAGTAAGCCTGCTACGCGCATTGGACTTGGATCTCAAGAACATCAAGGTGGCTGGCACCTCACAAGCTGTCCTGTAAATGTCCATCCACCACGCTGAAGGCAGCTGCCTGCCAGATAGCTGATGAGGAAACTCTGAAGCTTAGGGCGACAGTTGCTGGAAGGTGTTACCTGGAGTTTGAGTTCGTGAACACACGTCTGTACGTCCAGCGCCTGGAATCCACCTCGATTGGCCTCCAGAGAGGCAAGTAGCTGCTGCTTAAACTCCCCACCTCCAATTGGTGGAATCATCGCTCAATGGGAAGGGATGTGTGCCCGAGCTGCGGACAGAAGAACAATGGCAATGTTCTCATGCATTTCATGCTGAGATGTGTTGCCCACTGGGAAACTTGTGGGGAGTTCCATGTACCTACCACAAACCCACACTTGTCGGATGTCGAACAACCAACTAGTGACTATCCTGGGGGGAGGCAAGCGGGGTCTCCTTGGAGTTGAACTGTCTCCAGGGTGACATGCCTGGCAATGGAATGTCGGGATCAAGCCAGCAGTCTGGGGCAGTCTCAGTAGTCCGGTTCCTGAGCCAGCCGGGTCCGCAGTATTCCAGGGCACTGATGATGATAGCACACTCAGCCTGGCTCATCGGCAGGACCTGGAAGTGCAAACCAGTCACTGGGGGCAGGGAGTCATCCCACTCAGCTCCTGTTTACCATGCAAGCCAAAGCCTTAACGGGTAGGGTGGTCCTAGCTGGACAGGCAGCAGGAAAGCTTGCTGGACCTCAGTATCAATGGCAAGATATGCGGTTTTAGCTGATTAGACTCCAGCATTTCCCCAACTCACACTATGGGGTCCCCAAGCCTTGGCTCTTGGCAACCTGCACCTAATACTTTCGGGAATTAGGTAAGCAGGATGCGTCCTTCCAGGAAGAAAGTGCGCAATCCATTCCAACAATCTAACTCAGTGTAGGTGGGATGCAGGGAAATCTCAGCTTGGTTTTGATACTCAAGCATAGTAATGGGTTTCCGCATGTGTCAGACACCCAGCTGACCAAAAAAAAGCTAGCCCCCTTGGGAGGAGGCTAGCAAGGTCTCCTAGGAGCTGAACTGGCTCCAAGGTTATGTTTGGCAATGTAATATCAGAATCGAGCCTACCCTGCAGTACTCCATGGCACTGTTGATGACAGCACAGTCAGCTTAAAATAAAAAATAATAATTCCATGCAGTGGATATACTGTAAAGTGTAGAGACTGTGTTTTGTGGTCAAAACCTGGCAGCCAATCGCACATGGCAGTGTCCCACAAACAATCATGGATTGAGTGACCACATTATTATTATTTTTTTGACGGGATTATTGCGTCTGAAAAGTGATCCACCAATTGATTAACAAACGGGTTCCTACCTGCTAGGTAAACAGAAGCATGTGTGTGGAGTAAGGAAACTTGCCTAACATTTCGCCCTGCCCGTGAATCAAACCCAGGTCCTATCACTTGCAAGGCGAACACACTAACCAGTACACTACAGGACTGAGCAAAGAGGTGTAGGGCTCCCTTTATTGGAGCTAGTGTGTGACTTTATTTGCTGTGGTTGCTTCGCATTCACTCACAGCGGATGCGGGATGGGAAGGGGAGAGGGGGAAAGTGCATACCTGTACCACAGTAGACAAGTGATACACACATAGCACTTGGAGAGCAGAGGCAGCTCTTGGTCATGTTTACTGATGCATTTTTTGTCCTTGTACCTCCCACTGCAGTGATCTAACTCAATACTAACCTGTGCGCTCAGGAGGCTCTGGCTCATTGACAAGTCTTGGAAGGGCAGAACACGCAATGGGGGAAGGGACATTTCCCACTTAGCTCATGTTAACTCTAAAGCCAAAACCCTAATCACAGCGTAATAGCTTTCCAGGCAGCGGTCTCAATGGTCTCTATGAAGTTTTTAGCTGGTTAGATTCCAGGAATACCCTCTACGCATACTCTGAGGTCCCCAAGCCTTGGCTCTTGCTAACCTGTGTCTGATACTTTCTAGAATTAGGTAAGCAGGATGTGTCCCTCAAGGGAGAGAGTGCACATTCCATTCCAATAAATATCTCCCGGATTTCCATGTATAGGAGGGATACGTGGAACTCTGGTTTGGATACTCTTTAGCATAGTGATGGGATTTTCCATGTGCCAGACATCCAGCTGACCCAAAAAGATGTGTTTATGTGGGATAACGTCTCAAAATGCTTTAAAGGAACCATTTGGATCACTAAGCAAGGTGAGATGGGATAGCAGACGACCAAAAAATGTGATTTAGCATATCCCGGTAACTTAAATCATCTAGCTCCAAATATTTTCTGCGTTTAATTGATCTCACTGGGGTTGTTTCTATTAGGTTTGTTTGCAATACCTTAACCCATATTTTCTTCACCTACAATTTCTCAGCTGTTTCTGTTCAAATCTATATTCTGAAATTAATTAGCAAACATTTAAAGACAAGTAAAATGCATGAGAAATAAAATTTTTAAAAAAGCAACTATTAGAAAATGAGTTGGTAGTGTGAATTTTTAATTCCTGTGGCTGTACAAGGTTTGTGAGCAACCAGAGACAAAATATGAGCTTAAGTGGTATAGCCATCCTGTAATTTTGATGAAGTAGTGTAGAACACTAATATTCCTGTCGCATGAAAGAACTACGTCTTGTATCTTCTCTCCCCTCCCTCCCCCCAATAATCATGTTTACATTTTAATTAAAACCAAATTTGGGAAATTTGATGTAACGTATGATTTCTCAGTTTTAATATTAGAATCTCTGATCACTGGTTAGTAATTACTCCTTGGCGGTGCCCAGAAGCAATGTGAACATGTTTTTTTAAAAAACTCTGGTAATCTAATTGTGCAGGCCACATACTAAAATTTGACTCCTCCCTTGTTGAAAAATGTATCTGCATAGAGAAAAATGGAAGTCAAATCTGAGGCCTATCAGAAAATTTATAAATCTGATACATATGGCTTTGGCATAACCAAAAACAGCATTTTTTTTACTGACCTCGCCCATCAGTTTGTGCTCTTTCTCATTCATTTGGTGGTTGGATGCAGCTGTGGTGCGAAAAATATATACTTATATTACTGATCTGTATTATCAGCGTACAATGTAAGTAAATGAATTTGGTTGGAACCTTCAAAAGTGGATTCTTATTTTACTTTGGTGACTCCCAAAATAGATCATCATTTTAGACCCATGTCAGATAAGGGATTTTTTGGCTGGTAGAATATCTTTTGTTTCTGCAACGTCAGGAAAATAACTTCAATAACGTAAGTGTTGTGTTTGATACTTTAATCCATGAGCAGTACCTAATGGCTTGCAGTTCTCCCTCATGACTAACTAGCCTGAGGAGTTTGTCATGTGAAAATGTTTTTTTACAGTTGGAGCATTTTATAGCTTAATGATTCAGATGTTTTGCTAATACCAATGCTTGTCCTCTTAAATGTTATTGGCTGGGGACATTTATTTTCCTTAGTTGACAGTTTCTTCTATTCTGGTGTAGAACTTCTTTGCTCAATGCCCAGCATCCATTTCTTAGTTCTGATTGCCTTCACTGAGCAATCTGCCTCTTAATTCATTAATCTTTTGCGTGATATTACATTGGTGGAGTATTACTTCACTTGTCATTTTGAATGTTCTAACATACTGTATGTTCAAACCTGAGTAGTTGCACCTTTAGTAAACTAATTTTAAAGACACGATTTTAGTAGATTGAATTACATTTTGGGTTAGGTGCTATTCTAATTGTAAATATATCTACCATCCCGGATAACTTGGTGAGTTGAGAATCAGACTTATAGTCAGGATATTTCTGGGAGTTTGAATTCCACAGAATCTACCAAGCCTATCACCCTTTCAAGTCTATAAAATGTGTATGATTCCTAAAGGTTGGAGGAGGGTGAGCTAAAGAATATGGATGGTGTAAGAAGATTGAGGTAAGTAGAGGGGAGGGAAGAGAATTTCCCTAGGGTTGATGGTAAACTTCCAATTTCAAATTCCAACCTTTAGTATCCCTCAGAATAGCATTTAGTGACAATTCATAATAGTGTTTCGCCCACAAAATGCACAGTTAATTCACTTTAAAATGCACTGTGTGAAGCACTTTGAGATATCTCAATGATGTGATAACAACAACAACTTGGATTTATATAGTGCCCTCCACGCCGAATAGCGTCTCAGAGCGCTTAAGGTTCAAATGCAGTGAATATTACTATTATCTGAAACTGTTTGTTTTTTGCTTGAATTTCTCTTCAGTGATGAGGTGAATTTGTATTTCTTTTGCAGGATCGAACAAGATTATATGACACTTTAAATATGCATTCACTGGAGAGTTCACTAATTGACATCATGAGAGCTGAGCAGGACCCACTAAAAGGTAACTAGCAGTAATTTGTACTAGTCACAGCAAAAATAAAATTGCTGTTAACTTTTCCTATCTTATATTGCGTGTACATATATTAGATGATTGAAAAACATTAAGACAACCTTAATACTGAAATTCTTTTTTGTGTTCTTTCTCAAACTCCTCCTCAAGGGGAAAATCAATAAAATATAATTTTAAATACTTCATTTTAAGTGGGGGAAGAACTATTTTAAACTACTTTTTGATTAGTCACAATAGTGCCTTGGGACATCCTGCTGACGTGAAAAGCACTATAAAACTGTAATTTTGTATTGTGTAGTACACAGTAAGTTATGCAGGACAGCTACCACCACACAAATATAATGCAAATCTGATAGAATGGAATCTGAATCCCATTTATTTGGCTTTCCTAACTGTTCAAGCTAAATACATGTTCAATACTGATAGTCAATCATAAATGTGAAATTACAGAAAGACACAGTTGATCACACCATCCTCCCCCACTTCCTCATCCACCTTAGTGGAACCGCACTCGCATCGTTCGAGTCCTGCTTGACTAACCGCCAACAATATATCCGGTAAACGGTTTCTCTTCCCGCCCCTGGTCACCTGTGGAGTACCCCAAGGCTCCGTCCTTGGCTCCCTTCTTTTTCTGATGTACATACTCCCTCTCGGCAATGTCATCCACATACATGGGGTCAACTTCCAAGTGTATGCAGATGACACCCAAATCTACTTCTACTCCTCCAGTTGCAACTCCCAGTCCGCTGATGTCCTGTCAGCTTTTTTGACGGGCATCAAGGCCTGGATGAGGGCAAATTTCCTGCACCTGAATATTGGCAAGACAGAAGCCATACTAATTGTCATCTGTCAGATTCATTTCAACAGATTTAACAATGGCAGACAAATTTAATTAAAAATAGTTTGGGTTTTGTAAAGTTTGGCTGTCTCAGCATATTGGATGCGATTTTGATTATATTTTAATCGTGTAGAGAGGTATATTACCATAAACCTGATTATAAATTATGTGATTGATGTGTTGATTGTCCCAAAAGTTATTGTGGCTGAGCACTCAATATAACAGCTCCTCTGCCCATACAGAGCAATGGATAATCTTATTAGTCATTATTTTTCCTCTGCTGCCTGAAATCCCAGCTTCACAAATACGATAATGCTAAACTTGCAATTCGTAGGAAGATTATACTTGTAAGTAATAATAATAATCCTTGCATTTGATATAGCACCTTATCAAGTCGTTGAGACATCTCAATGATGTGATAAGACTTCACAGAATATACTGTAAAGTTAATTGACCGTATAGAACATATCCTGGTCTATTTGGATCTATGTATCCAATTGGCAAACCGTGCAGTTATGAATTTGTGAATAGATTTTCATTATGATTAGCGTAAATGTTTTCAGTTATCTGTTGTAATTTGGCGAAAACGTTGCTTGTCAAGGTGCGGATGTAGCATTTAGAAATTCCCAGTTTGAACACACGTCAAACAAGTAATTGTTTAAAAGGTTAACTAAAGGTAGGCTTTGTTTACTGTTGAATTTTGTTGAATGTCTATTTTGTCAAATTTATTACATGAAGGGACCAGAAAAGTAACCTGTAATGTTCATTTTTATGCGAGCGTTTTACTAAAAAATAAATCTGAAGGATAGCCATTACATTCATAAATTGGTTCCAAATCTCAAAATAATTAACTGTGATTATCTGTTGATCAAAATAATCATTCTCTAGTGTCTGCAACTTATAAACGTGTAGTATAAAATATCACTGGTCCAGTTTTACAGAAATGTCTTCCATATTTCCTTTATACTGAAAATCGGCTGTGAATTTCTTAATTGATCTCATCATTTAATGCAAAAATGAGCAGAAAACTTCAGAATCTTGTACAATTGAGAGTATCAATGAAAGTCTCTTACTGGAAGATCGTTTATCATCTGAAATAAGAATGTTTATGTTTAACCTTTCCTATAATTGTTGTCTTTTGTAAGGTCGCCTAAACTACACACATCCAGGATCTGACAGCCCTCTTCCTATTAATGGTAGGTAATTAATTTACTGCATTTTATTCAGTCAGTGTTTTATTTTATTTTTCGGTTCTCTTGTAAACTGCATTCATATGATTGTTGTGGATACACTAGATTTCTAGAGAAGATTGGATGAAGAAAGCCCTGTGACCCATTAGATCACATCCTTTCAGCATAAAGCTGGTTCTTAAATGCCATTCATGGTAACCTGTTCATTACCCTGTTTGTAAAGAATACTTCCCAGTTTCTGTTCAGAAATTGTCCATTGTAACTCAGAACATGTGCGTTTTTGTTTTGCTGCCTGGCTATATCTGGAAGTATTGTTCTTTTATATACCTTTAAGGCTCCCATTGAAACTTCTCTTTTCAAGGCTGTAAAGCAACACTTGCTTATCTAATTATTGCTCAAATTATTGTAATTTGAGTCCATTGTGAATGAAATAAATATTCGTTCATGGTTGTGGCAGTTGTACAATGTATTTTCAAGAATACAATATCTTCTGTTATCATTCCTGAATACAAAATGAATTCCAAAGTATTCCTGTACATATCTTCAAGAAAGTCAATTGTAAAAGCTGTCTCAGATTTTTTAAATATTTCAGAACTTACCTTATATTTAAAAAAATAATTTTATTTGTCAAATTATTTTTTTTTAAAAAAGAGATAAATTATGCAGTGATTACATTCTTTTTTACTTTTCTGCTCAACACCAGCAGCATAACCTGTGAAACTGTCCTTGTACATTATCCTGAATCTACATATCTACAAGTGCTACATTATTGTGATCTGATATTACCTGTTAACATTAGAGACCTTTCACGAACATCTATTATCTGAGGCAATGCCTTTTAGAAGATGATTTTGTGTCCAGTGATCTGAATTGCTAAATCAAACTATTTAGTGGGCCCAGGAGTATTCTTACAGTTTCTTCAGATCAAAAACAACAACAACAACAAGATTTCATTTATAGAGCGCCTTTCACGTCGGGAGGACGTCCCAAGACGCTGGACAGTTGGGTCAGGACCCGAGTAGCGGGAAATGGTCAGGGTGAGGGGAGGGAAGGGAGGAGCGAGGAGGGGCTAGAGAGTCGAGAGGGGAGCTGAAGGCACGGTCAAAGAGAAAGGTCTTGAGACCGGCCTTGAAGGAGGAAAGGGAGGAAGCAAGGCAAAGGCACTGGGGGATGGAGTTCCAGAGCCTCGGGGCTGAGAGGCTGAAGGCCCGGCCACCGATGGTAGGGCGGTTGGGACGGGGGATGTGGAGCTGACCGGAGCCAGAGGAACAGAGGGTACGGGCAGGTAAGTAGGGGGATAGTAGGTCGGAGAGGTAGGAGGGAGCAAGGCCGTGAATGGCCTTGTAGGTGAGGTTCAGGATCTTGAATTTGATCCTCTGGGGGATGGGGAGCCAGTGGAGGCGAGCGAGGGTGGGAGTGATGTGGTCGCGAAGCCTGGTGCGGGACAGTACACGAGCTGCAGAGTTCTGAATGACCTGCAGCTTGTGGAGGGAGGGCCGGGAAGGCCGGCGAAGAGAGAGTTCCCATAGTCCAGCCTTGAGGTGATAAAGGCGTGGACCAGAGTTTCAGCAGCGTGAGGGTAGTGCCGTAGTCTGGCGATGTTCCGGAGGTGATGGAAGGCGGTGCCAGTTGTAGCGCGGATATGAGGAAGAAAGGACAGCTCAGGGTCGAACAAAACGCCTTGGATGCTGATGCTGTCAGTGCCTGAGCTGCGGAGGCGCTGACGTGAGCCAATCAGGAGGGCCTCAGTTTTGCGCACGTTGAGTTGAAGAAAGTTGTCTCCTATCCAGGACTCGATGTCGGACAGGCAGCTGTCAGGACATCGGTGGTCGTGGAGTTGAGGGTAGAGGAGGAAAGATAAAGTTGGGTGTCATCCGCATACATGTGGAAGTTAACCCCATGTCTGCAGATGATGTCACCACAGGGGGAGCATATAGAGGGTGAAGAGGAGGGGACCGAGGACAGAGCCCTGAGGGACACCACGCGAGACAGTGCGGGGGCCGGAGGAAAAGCCGTTTGTGGAAACAAAATGAAGATGGTGGGAGAGGTATGACCTAAGCCACTCAAGGACAGGGCCTTGAAGGTTGAGGTGGGAGGACAAGCGGTGGAGGAGGATAGCATGGTCGACCGTATCGAATGCTGCCGATAGGTTGAGGAGGACGAGGAGGCAGAGGGAGCCCTGGTTGCAGATGGTCAGGGTGTCATTGGTGACCTTGACCAGGGCAGTTTCTGTGCTATGGGCAGCACGGAAACCTGACCGAAGGGGTTCGAATAATGCATGGGTGGAGAGGAAAGAGCGCAGCTGGGAGGCGACAACTCTTTCAGGAACCTTGGACAGGAAGGGGAGGTTGGCGATGGGCCGGTAGCTTGATAGCTGCGACGCATCAAGGGAGGGTTTTTTCAAAGTGGTATGACCTTCAAAAAAGTATGACCAAGAACTTTTTTTTAAAAAAACTCATCAGGTATGCAATGTGGAGCTATTCATTCTGCTTCAGGAATCATGTTTAGTTGGAATGTGATAATTTCTCTTGCTGTATTACTTTTGAACCATTGTGAGATCATTAAATGAGGCCAAGTTCAACTATAATGTATTGTGTGCACAATGCATGAATCAGTGAGTTGTTCAAGAACACTAACATGCTGACATTGTGGCCACTTTTCTCGGACTTTCATGTCAGAGTGTTTTACAATAGGTGACTGTCTTGAATGTGGAATTATGAATGTCATAAATTACAGACATGCTTATTGCTTATTCTCCTGTGTTTAATTTTGTTAAGCAAAATTCAGCAAAAAGTGACGTTTCCGTGCTTACCTTTGACCTTGCAAACAGCACTGGAACATTAATGCTGAAATTATGATGATAATAATAATAATAATAATAATCCTTACATTTGCATTGACTCCATGATTTTGCTCTCCATCATAAAAATCGTCAGTGTGACATTTACAGTTGTGTGGATAATAATAATAATAATCCTTGCATTTGATATAGCGCTTTTCACGTCAGGAGGACGTCCCAAAGCGCTTCACAGAACACACTGTAAAGTGAATTGACTGTATATTTGTGGGCGAACGCGGCAGCCAATTGCGCACAGCAATGTCCCACAAACAGTCGTAGATTGAAAATGACCAATTTATTATTGTTTTTGGTTTTGGAGGTATTATTATTAGGCTCTGTGTGGAGTAAGGAAACTTGCCCAAGGTTTCGCCCTCTGCCTGGAATTGAACTCAGGTCTCTCACTTGCAAAGCGAGTGCTCTAACCACTGAGCTACAGGACTCCACAGGATAATGCACTAGCCTTCACAATAAGGCCAAAACCAGAGAGGAAGTTCTCTAGTTTGCTGTAAATTTTATTGTACAATATATATACCTTTGTTCTTTTTGAGCTTTTGATGTCAGGGTTTCAGCTTTGGTGTTAATTTTCTCATCATGGCGGCCTTTTAAGTTAGTTTTCCTTTACCTTATGAAGACACGGGATGAAATTAATTTAATTTAAATGGTGTATGTTTCAACTTTGATGAACCACGGACCAAGCATTGCTTTTGTGATGCAGAAAATGTTTCCTTTCATGATTGAAGAGTATTTTTCTTTCTATTTACATGCAGCAAGGACATATGGGCGAAGGCGAGGTAAATGTCAGAAAATAGATTACCATATTGTATCAATAAATTCAGTTCAGCACAATTACTGAGCTAATAATTTGGTCATTTATATTTCCCAAATATTTGAACTTGTCGAATTTCACATGATTTCATATTTGCGCTTCACGTTTAATATTTTGTCGTGTACATCAATTGTAGAGTTCTATTTCTGATGTTTTCACTGCTCAGTCTAGCAATTTTCTGTTTGATTTTAAGGCAGCATTAATAACCTCACTGCTATCTCCACTGATTCGGTTAATCCTATTGTGTTCCATACATTAATAGATCTGGATTAGGTTTAGCTTGTTTAGAAGTGAGTGTTTGTGCAAGAGTTGGGTTAGAATCTAAAATTAAGCTATTATTCCCAACTCAAAAAAACAAGCGTGGTTCACTTAAGACCTTTATCAGTTAAGGTAAGGTTGAATGTGCTTGCGATTTTAAGACTTTCAGCCACAGTTGGAGTTTGTGTATCTAGGGCTAGAACTGTTACGTCGAGAATTTTTCTCTTTTTTAATTTACGGCTTTCCAAACATATTTACAGTCATAACTAGTTTTTAAATTATAACTAGTTTGATTAATTTGTATGTGTTTATTCACAACCATTTAATTAGTATTTGTGGTCCACTTGGCAGTTTAGAATTGCTGCTTGCTTTGCAGACGTTTTCACTTCAAAATACAAACTTGAATCTGAGCAATTCTTCCATGGATCTGTAATTTTTAAATATCAGGTGGGTAGGAAATTTGTACGACTGATATGCCAAGTTAAATATTCACGCAAGTTGACTGCCTCTCTGCTAGCCAAGTTGCTGGTCTCAGTTGCCTTCTATTTTGGAAAGACTTAACAACTTGATGGAGCCCCAATTAGAACTGAGAGGTTTCAGTGAGGGCAGAGGTCATGCTGACCTTCCATAATGGCTTTCATTCAAATATTGTCAATCATGGAAGTCAAAAGGGCTGTAAACGCTGTTTTTCCTTGGATCTGTATAAAAAGACAGGCAATTGATGTCTGTGGAACCATAATCCCAGTTTGACTCAGCACCTGTGGGTTGGCGGTAGAAACCAATGTTTGATATGATACTTTAAGTTGTTATTCTCCTCATAGTATTGTGCAATTCTTAAATGTCCCTCACCCGCAAGATCTCGAAATATCAGCAGTAAAATTACTTTCCAGAACACATGCAGAAGAAATCTAACAAAGTTATTGAAGCTTGTCAGGCTGTACCTGTTATATAGCCTCACTTTTCCAATATGCCTATCTTAGGTGACTTCAACTCTTGACATTTGTCAATTGGACCTTTATTATTCATACTTGCCAACCATATCAAGACAATACTATGCTTGTTGAATTAATCCTGTGTCTCCTGATTTCTTCAGAAGAGCAGTAAAATGCATTTCCAGCTGCTTTCAAATCAAAAATGCCTTGGGGAAATAAACTCCACCTCCCTCAATGGAAGTGTCCCAGTAAGAAAATGACTCCTGTTTGCATCTATGTTAATTGCTTTGGTTGCCCTGGTAGCTTAGAGACTAATCCTGTTTTGATGGAAAAAGCTTTGACACTATAAAGTTCATTATGGATACGTGTTAAACTGATAGTAGCAGAATGGTTTGAATATTCACTGATGTGTGTCAGTCTGGCTCAGTTGGTAGCACTCTTCTTTGAATCAGAAGGTTGCGGGTCCAAGCCCCATGTAAGGACTTGGAACCCATATTTGAAATGTATTATCAATTTAGTGACATACTGAAACTTGACCAGTGCTGTGGTCAGACAGCTCCGGAACACTCATTTTAGTTCTGGTCGCTACAACGTAAAAGCACTGTCCTAATGCAGAGGAAAGCAAAGTGGACTGATCCGCAGTGCTGGGAGGGCTGAGCTATGAGGACAGGGTACGTAGGGTTTGTCCCTCGGGAGAGTGTGAACTCCATTCCAGATGCATGACAATGGATTTTGACATGTGTCAGATACCTGGCTGACCAAAACCAAATTGATCCAAATGTCAGTTTCCAGATTTGGGTGGAACATGGATTCAAGCTGAATTTTACAACTTGAACACGCCAAAAATAAAGTGTATTCTTTGTAAGTTTATTAACCAATGTTCATTTACCAGCACATCTTTGAAAAGAAAGCAATCCATTTGTTGTGCTGTTTGTGCTTCTTTCCAGGTCACTCATCTCTGTTTCCAGTGGAAGATTCCTTTCTGGATGATGGCCGTGGTGATCAATCTCTTCATAGTGGCTTAAATTCTCCTCATTGCTTTCCTCACCAAAATGGTGAACGGGTAGAACGATATTCCCGTAAAGTGTTTGTTGGTGGTTTACCACCTGATATCGATGAAGGTAGATATAAACATAGACTAGTGGAAAACTTGATTTCTTGAAAGCATCACATATTTTATTATTTTATTGCAAGATTTACCTGCTTCAAGTAATAAATGGGTTGTTCAGCTATTTGCCTATTTACAGGTGCTATTTATGTTGTATTACTTAATGATGAATTGATAGTGGTATAAGGTTGCTAGAAGACATCTAAACCATGAGTTATATACAAACAACATCTGCCTGGCTGCCTCCTTGGTCTCCCTCCTCCCCCACCTCCCCCCCATGTCACCTTTCAAACCCCCTCCCCCATGCCTCCTTCACCACCCTCCTCCAACCACGAACCACACCCTACACTTCTTTGCCCCCATCTCTCTCCTCCTCCTTTTACCCTACCATCACTCAGATGAAGCCCACCACCTGCTGCCTCCGCTCAAGTAGCTCCGGACTCCTGTTCGTCCCTCGTCCACTCCACCATTGGTGGCCGTGCCTTCAGCCACTACGCCCCAAAACTCTGGATCTCTCTCCCTCAATCTCTCTGTCATTCCCCCTCCCCACTTTCAAATCCCGCCTAAAAACCTTCCTTTCTGATCGTGCTAATGTCACCTCCCCCGCCTGCCCCTGGCTCGGGCTCAGACTCCGCCACTGTTAAGTGCTCCGGGGCTCTACTCCGTGTGAAGTGCGCTATGTAAATGCAAGTTTTACAAATACATTTAACATTAAATGGGTATGAATCATATGATTATTTGTTGTATTTGCTTCCTGCTTACAGTAACAGCAAATTACACTTGTATAGCGCCCTTCACGTTGGGAAGACGTCCCAAGATGCTGGACAGTCAGGGGATTTGGACCCGAGCAGGGGTTTGGGATTAAGGGGGCGGCGGGGAGGGTAGGGAGTGTGGTCGAATGCTTTGTTACATATGTGGAACCGATTTTTTACATTTGATGTAGAAATGTTTTCCAGTTAGCCAGACTCTTATTGCACTATTTATTTTTGCAGATGAAATCACAGCTAGTTTCCGCCGGTTTGGTTCTTTGGTTGTTGACTGGCCTCACAAAGCAGAAAGTAAATCCTATTTCCCACCAAAAGGTACGACGCAAAACATCTGATGAATAAATTTTAGCTGTTGGCAAAAGGTGTTACACAGTGACGAGATAAAAGCTAAACTTCCTTATTTTGGCTTTTAAATTTTGCGGCATGTTTTGTACAATGGAAAATAGGTATTCATTCACAAAGTAACAAACTATTTGCCTAGGGCACCGTGGTCCAATAGACGACACAGCCCGGCGGGAGGTTTTATGAGGCCCACGACCATTCTAGCTTCCACTCCCTGGTGAATGTCCTCCCAGGAGCTGGCGGTTGGAAGGACACAGCGCAGAGAGTCTTTACTGCAGTCTCAGGAGGGCAAGTGCGTCTCTTACCATCCAACTACCAGCTCCTACCGCTGCAGAAAGTGATCCGCGCATGGGGAAGAGAGAAAGTGGAGCGAGAGAGGAGGGGGTGGCGAGAGAGAGGAGAGGGGAGGTGAGAGTGAGGGGAGGTGAGAGAGAGGAGAGGGGAGGTGAGGGAGAGGGGAGGCGAGGGAGAGGGGAGGCGAGAGGGGAGAGGGGAGGCGAGAGGAGAGGGAAGGCAAGAGAGAGAGGAGAGGCGAGAGAAAGAAGAGAGGCGAGAGAGAGAGGAGGGGTGGCGGCGAGAGAGGAGGGAGGGAGAGATACAGGAGAGAGTGCATATCTGTGAGAAGTAAGGGGCAGTGAGAGAAAAAGACTTGAGATTGAGAGAGGGAGAGCAGAGAGAGATTCAGAGAGTGAGGGGGAGAGTGTGAGAGGTGGAGAGAGAGAGTGTGTGAGGTGGGATGGGGTGATTGTGAGGGAGAAGGGGAGAGAAAGAAATGGGGGAGATTGAGAGAGAGTTTGAGGGGATAGAGAAAGTGTGTGTGGGAAAGTGTGTGTGTGAGAGAGAGAGGAGAGGGGGAGATGAGAATGGAGTGGTGGGCAAGAGAGTGATTGAGAGGGGATAGGTAGAATGTTAGAGGGAAGACAGAGTGTGAGAAGGGGAGTGAGAAAGAGTAATAGAGAGAATGTGTAAGAGAAGGAGAGAGTGCCTGAGAGAGACTGTCATCCCCACTCCCCCTCTCTGTCCTCCACCTCTTGCTCCCCACTCTCTGTCCTTCACCTCTTTCTCTCCGCCACTCCGCCTCCCTACTCTCCCCCCCCTCCCTACTCTCCCCCACTCCCTACTCTACCCCCCTCCCTGCTCTCCCCCCCTCCCCGCTCTCTCCCCGCCCCCTGCTTTGCCCCCCTCCCTGCTCTCTCCCCCCTCCCTGCTCTCCTCCCCCACCCTCCGAGCTCTCCTCCCCCACCCCCCAAGCTCTCCTCCCCCGAACTCCCCCCCCCCCCAGCTCTCCCCGCCCCGAGCTCCTCCCCCCACCCATCTCTCTCCTCCTCCCCCCTCTCTCTCTCTCCCCCTCTCACAAGAATGGATCACTATCTGCAGCTGGAGGAGCCGGTGGTTGGTTGCTAAGGACATGGTTGGTAAGAGACGCACTTGCCTTCCTGACAGATTGCAGTAAAGGCTCTGCGCATCGCGTTCCCCTAACCACCGGTTCCTGACACTGCCCTGAGAGGATGTTCACCAGTGAGTGAGGGTGAGAGTTGGAATGTTGGAAATGGTCTCAGGCCAGATGGGGCCCTTGGGCCGCCAGCTGGCCCACACTGAATGCATCCCGTGGACCTTTCTCAAATAGGGAATCCAGCCATGGCAGCCAAAAGTTTGGACCACCGTGCTCTAGGATAACAGCTAGACTAGGTAAGTCAAGAGTGGAAGTCCAGAAACTGGATAAAACTGCAATACTGTCCTATGGTAACAGCACAAGTTATGATTATATTAAAATTTTTGTCATTTTTGTGGCATTAGACTTTGACCTCTAGAACCTCAAGGTGTCACAAGTTGCCTTGGTATAGGTCCTTCCACCCTGCTGAGGACGGATATCCGTTGAATAGCTGATGAGGAAACTCAGGCTTGGAACGACAGCTGCTGAAAGATAATAATCCTTGCATTTAATATAGTGCCTTATCGCGTCGTTGAGATGTCTCAAAGCGCTTCACAGAATATATTGTAAGGTTCTATTGTTGATAACAGCTGCATTTCAGTTAGTTATTTTGGTCATTTAATTTGTAAAGGTGAACAAATTATTGATTTACCAGAATTGTTTACGAGTAGAGTTTATTTTTATTGTATGTACAATGCTTGTAAAAGAAGTCGTTGTTTTGGAAACAATTTTAATTCTATAATCATACCTTAGTGTTTAATTATAATTTAAAATTTTGAGTTTGACATGGCCAGGCAATACTGTGAATAAACCCATTTACCATCTTTTATTTTGCAGGTTATGCATTTTTGCTGTTTCAAGAGGAGGGTTCTGTGCAAGCTTTGATTGACGCCTGTATTGAAGAGGATGGCAAGCTCTACCTTTGTGTGTCAAGCCCAACCATTAAGGATAAGCCAGTGAGTGGATACAAACTTCAAAACAAAAACACTTGAGTCTTTATCCTCAGTTGTAATATTTTAAGTCACAAGTTCACAAGAGAGATTCAGATGAAGAAGCTCCTACAACAACAACAAGATTACATTTGTATAGCGCCTTTCACGTCGGGAGGACATCCCAAGGCGCTGGACAGTGTACAGCATTTCAGAGCCGACCTAGAGTCAGGGAGGGAGAAGGGAGGGGTCGGGGGGTGACGGATGGCATGGTCGAAAAGGAGGATCTTGAGGTGGGACTTGAAGGAGGCTAAGGAGGGCACGAGGAGGAGTGATTGGGGGGTAGAATTCCAGAGATTGGGGGCAGAGTGGCTGAAGGCTCTCCCGCCAATGGTGGGACGGGTGGGTTGGGGGACGTGTAGCAGGCTGGAGCTGGCTGAGCGGAGGGAGCGGGCGGGTTGGTAGGGGGTTAGGAGTTTGCGGACGTAGGGGTAGTGAGGCCATGGAGGGCTTTGTAAGTGAGGACCAGGATCTTGAACTGGATCCTCTGAAGGATAGGGAGCCAATAGAGTCGGGCGAGAATGGGGGAGATGGGGTCACGGAGTTTGGTGCGGGAGAGGACACGGGCTGCAGAGGTCTGGATTATCTGCAGCCTGTGGAGGGAGGAGTTGGGAAGGCCGACCAGCAGGGTGTTTGCATAGTCGAGCCTGGAGGCGATGAAGGCATGAACAAGAGTTTCAGCAGCCTGAGGGCTGAGGTAGTGGCGGAGTCGGGCAATGTTACAGCCCATATGATCATATGATCGCATCCTTCCAGAACGCCCATCTTTCTCTCATTACAGCGTTGAGCTGTTCTTTTTAAATAAGTCCAGCGTCCTGGTTTCATTCTTATTACTAATTAAAATCTTGTATACTTCTATAAGGTCGCCTCCAAAATATCTCCGTTCAAGATTAGAGAGCCCTAGCTTGTTTAATTGTTGCTCATAGCTCATTCAGTACAATTTTAAAAAGACTGAAGTCATAGTCTACTAATAACCAGAAGTTTGTTCATACTCCACCTCTGAAATATTGAAACAGGTGTGTTCAGGTTTTTTTCCAGTAGTTGGTGTTAGCATTGTTAAAAGGCTGCAGCCCAGACTGTATCACTCTCCAAGATGAAGAAATAATAATTAATAATAATACTTGCATTTGATATAGCACCTTATCATGTTATCAAGACGTCTTAAACAGGGTTTACTGTAAAGTGGTTTGACTGCATTTTGTGGACGAAAGTAACAGCCAATTTGCACACAGCCATGGAGTGAGCGACCAATTTTATTTGGGGGATTGTAGAGAGAAACTCTATTCTCTTTTTGAATAGTGCCATGGGATCTTTAATGTCCACCTGAACAGTCAGACTGGACCTCGGTTTAACATCTCATCTGAAAGATGGAACCTCCAACAATGCACTCCTATCTCTCTGACCTGCTGACTCCCTACCAACCTGCCCGCTCCCTCCGTTCATCAGGCTCCGGCCTGCTCCATGTCTCCCGCCCGACCTGCCCTACGATCAGTGGCCAGGCTTTCAGCCTCTCTGCCCCCACACTCTGGAACTCCATCCCAAGATCCCTTCGCCTCGCTTCCTCCCTTGCATCCTTCAAGGCTGGTCTCAAGACCCTTCTCTTCGACCGTGCCTTTGGTCTCCCTCCCACCTCTCTGCCCTCCCTCACCCCTACACCACCCCTCCCCCCATGCTCTGGCCCCAATAGCTGACTGTTCAGTGCTTTGGGACGTCCTCCCGTCGTGAAAGGCGCTCTATAAATGTAATTTTGTTGTTGTTTAGACTATGTGATTCCAAGTTCCAATGGCGGCTTGAACCCACAACCTTCTGATTCAGAGGCTATCACTGAGCCAGGCTGACATTGTAATAATAGAGCAGTCACTTTCCATTGTGTAGTAAGAGAAAAATTTAACATTAATGTAGTATTACTATAAAATGTAACATTACTGTAGTACTAGTGGCTGTATATTGATTAGAAATCTGTTGAATATTCAAAAAGAATATTTTATTCATATAATTTTCAATGCAGGTTCAGATACGTCCATGGAATCTTAATGACAGTGACTTCGTGATGGACGGTTCTCAGCCTCTTGACCCGAGGAAGACCATTTTTGTAGGTGGTGTTCCCAGACCCCTGAGAGCTGGTAAGCATCATCAATAACATGTTCCCAGTTTTGACAAACAACCTATTTTGCTATCATTTATTCCACAAACGTGTTTAGGCTGAATGTGGGGAAAAAATACGGACCATTTGAGCAATATAGTTGTGAAACCGAAATCTTTATCAGTCCCCATAACTATCAGCTGCTCTAAAGTCTGTACTCATAAAATTCATTCAATACCATTTGTAATCGCTTACTTCACGCTAGCATAAAAAAATATAGAATTGCTGTAGCATAATGTTAATTCTGACTTGAATTTGAATCTTAAATGCTGTTCTCAAATTTACAGTAGTTACAACTGACATGTTGTTTATAATTGCTCCTTTATTGTGTTTTTTTGTGCTGTAGTGGAGCTAGCCATGATCATGGACAGACTTTATGGTGGAGTATGTTATGCTGGCATTGACACAGACCCTGAGCTCAAGTACCCAAAGGGTGCAGGGCGTGTGGCTTTCTCAAATCAACAAAGTTACATCGCTGCTATCAGTGCTCGCTTTGTTCAGCTACAGCATGGAGATATTGATAAACGGGTAAGCACTGAACAAACATTTTCATTTTCCTTCATAGGAACACAAGAACATGAGTAAGCCATTCAGCCCCTCAAGCCATTCTATAGAATCGTGGCTGATCTGGAATAGATCATTCCCCACATTCCCTTCCCCCACCCCAAATAATAATAATAAATTGGTCACTCAATCCACGACTGTCTGTGGGACACTGCTGTGCGCAATTGGCTGCTGCGTTTCGCCCACAAAATAAAGTCAATTCACTTTACAATATATTCTGTGAGGCGCTTTGTGATGTTTTAAAGACATGATAAGGCGTTACATCAAATGCAAGGATTATTATTATGAAGTGCAGTCGTTTCCTGTGTACAGTAACATTGTGTTCATTGCGTTGTCAGACTAATCTCTTCCAGAAGGTTGGAAAGACCCTATGGTGAAGAAATTCAAGGCAGCTGTAACTTCATCTACTACATATAGAATTGTGTGCCTGATGCAAACAGTGTCCAGATTGGCAGCAAGCAACTCACAAATCCTGTTGAGATGGCCACCTTGCATAATCTGAGTTTCCCCAGACACTCTTCAGATGTATCAGGATAACTCACTCTTGATTTATATCACTCTTTCACTCAGTAATGTAGTTCCTGCTTTTCCTCATTCCTGAAATGAATTGATAATCTCACAGTTCCGTGAAAGGAAGAATTACACCAGTGATCTCAATCAGAGATTCCCGTCACATTGCCCGCCTCCATTGGTACCTCACAACTAACGCAGCCGAAACCCTTGTCCACGCTTTCCTCACTTCCCAGCTGGACTATTCCAATGCCCTCCTTGCTGGTCTCCCCAGCTTCACCATACACAAAATCCAACTAATTCAGGACTCCGCCACCTGGATACTCACCCGCACAAAACAACAACAAAAAAAATTACATTTATAGAGCACCTTTCACGTCGGGAGGACGTCCCAAGGCGCTGAAAAACTCTACCCCCATCACACCAGTCCTTGCCAGGCTCCACTGGCTCCCAATTACTGATTGGATCGATTTCAAGATCCTCTCATCATTTCCAAATCCCTTCATGTCCTCACACCTCACCTACCTATCCAATCTGCCACTCCACCGCCTGCTGCCTCCGCTCAGCTGGCTCTGGCCTCCTGTTCATCCCTCGTCGCCTCCACTCCACCATTAGTGGCCGTGCTTTCAGCCACTACGCCACAAATCTCTGGAACTCTCTCCCTCAGTTCCTCCGCCTTGCCTCCTCCCCTCCCACTTTCAAATTCCGCCTAAAGACCTTACTTTATGATCGTGCTTAGGGTCACCTCCCCCCTACCTCTCCGCTTGGCTCAGTGTCCAACTCTGTCACTGTCAAACGCTCCGGGACACTATCCTGCTATATAAATCAAGTTGTTGTTTTTGTATTATCTACTTTGACAAATAGAAATTCTCTGGCCAGATTTTAAACACTGTCTGATAATCCTTTTGAATCTAAGTTGTACAACGTCAAGAAAAGCTGTAGTCTTGGTAGACGATCAAAGTAAATCTAAAGTCATTTGGATCTGTCTCTTAATAATTGGTTTAGCAGATTTCATGATGATAGAAAAATATTTTCACCGAGTATTTGAGATGTATGATTCAGTGTTGCAAAATTCATTCCTAAATCAAATTGTTGGCTGGAATAAAATATGAAGAATTTAGTGGCACTAGGACAGTTCACATCCCTTATTTCTGTACATAAGATTCAAATAAGATTCTTATCTGGTAAATCACGAATTTACCTCTGATCAAACTGCACAAAAGGCAGCTTGCTTTCTGCTGACCCCCACTTTTCTAAACTGCATTACTGGGAAATTTTATTTTCAAAATGTTGACTGCCATGTGATTTTGGGACGTAGCCTTTTTTATGCAATGAGGATGTAATCTTTATCCAGATCACAACATTATACAGATTTGGAAAGGGATTACAAGACCACTGGTAACGATGCCTATGCTTTGGCTTTTTAATATTCTTCTGGCTGTTTAATACTGAATAATATTGTGTTTATTTTTAGGTGGAAGTGAAGCCATATGTCCTTGATGATCAACTGTGTGATGAATGCCAGGGTACCCGCTGTGGTGGAAAATTTGCTCCATTCTTCTGTGCCAATGTCACCTGTCTGCAGTATTACTGTGAATATTGCTGGGCTGCCATACACTCGCGTGCTGGGAGAGAGTTCCACAAGCCACTGGTGAAGGAAGGAGGAGACCGTCCGCGACAGGTTCCCTTCCGGTGGAACTAAAAAAAAAAAAAAATTTTTAAATTAGAATTTTTTTTTAATATGATTCTAATGGGGAGATCAAGAGTGTTTTAGGCTCCAGACACCAGACTAACTGGGGGGAAAAATAAGTGCATTCTTCATCTGCCTCATCCCAGTTCTCAAAGTATGTGTCTCTAAAATTCAATTCAGAACAATTTGATTCAACTAAACTTTAGTTTCAGTGCTTTGTATAAACAACGGCTGACTGTTGATCAGGCGAGAAGAGTTAATATACATCTTAATGGAATAATACAGGTTCAGTGGGCATGATGATTTGTACTTCTGGGTCATGTGCATGCACACAGCTTGGTGCTGTACTTGATGGGAAGTGTTGCATTGAGGGAGCTATGGGATAGGGAAACCAGTTTTAAGCACCATTTATAGTTGAATGGGCGGAATCTAAACTTAAAACCATTAAATGTGAAGTTATACTGCAAGCCTTTCTGTTTGGGTTTAAATTATATTCTGAAGTAGGGAAATAGCACTGTATGATGCAAGGAAATCTGGATTTGCCCTCAAATGATACAATTTTCAAAATTAAAAGACCCTTTTTCATCAGTGTGGTTTTAAAAAGTTGTTTCTAACACACTACAAGCTTTACTAACGATATGAGTGTATGGGGTACATAACTTTGGTGTTACCCCATCTCTTTTCCCCTCCTAAGAAAATAGTAAGAAAAAGAGGGGTTTAGGTTGCTGCTATGGTTGAAGTGTGCACTTATTTCAGAAATGTAAAACCACAATTCTAAGATCTGTTGCCCCTTTAAAGTTTACCAAAGTTGTTGAGATTGACGTAAATCTAGTTATAGAGAGGCATTTTCCTTGCTGGAAGAGATTTTATACCTTTATTTTTTGATGTTGCTATTTACAAAGTTGACTTGATCTACTAATATATTGTTATGTGTCAGCTTTTGCTCTCCATTTTGACACACAAAAAGTAATACCTCAATTGTAGCCTTGATTTATATTTTTTTATTTTTAGTGATGCTATTTAATTGCAAGAGACAATAGGAGCCTTGCTGCTGTTTAGGTGGTATGAATCAATACCATTTTGTTTCCAGTAAAATGGGAATTAGTGAATAACAAAAGAGAAAGCTACACTGCAAAACAACTAGATGTAGCACAGCCTATGGCTTCAGCTGCCTAAGAATTTTTATTTTTTATTTTTATGTGGAATAGTATGAATGATTGAATGTTTACTTGTACACCTGTTTTGCATGCACTAAATATTCATACATTTTCCCCATTCTCTCCTGTACTTAAGTTCCCCCTATTAAGTTTTTTGAAAAAGTTACATTTTGAAAATTTAAATGGCATAAAACAAAAGAAACAGCAAAATTTGTTGCGTGTGCCAGGGTGTATGCTTCAGTGTTACTGTAGGTTAGCACGTGGTGTCACAACACTAAAAGTGTGCACTATGCAGGTTGGCTTTATCTGGTGCTGCCCTTGCAGTGGGTGAGGTAGGTCGTAGACTGCATTGAAGGAATGATCTCCTTTTAATTAATGTGTGATTCAGCCAAAGTTGGTTATGCAGCCGTTTTATTACTTTTATGTGAAAGATGAAAGGTTATTGCTCCTTACTCTTGCTATTTTTTGTGATACAATGCATTGCATCTTTAAGCTCCTGCAAACCAAAGACTGGATTATTCACTGCTAACTTGTGACCCACAAGTAAAACACTGAAAATAGCAGTGTAACTATTCTTTTTGAAATAATAGGCTTTGCTGAATTCAACCTATTAAGATCATTAGTCAAAATGGAGACATTTGCTGTTAAATCATCAAGTTTAATGCATTTAAAATTGATCTGTGTTTTGACCACAGTGGTGACATACTAACAGCAGCAGAGAGTTGCGAGGGTGCTTACCTTTTAGCTCGTCAGGGATTTACTATTAAAGTAAAGAATATGTAATTCTTAGTGGCAATGTTTAAGCTGTAGAAAGTGCTGGTTATCATCCTTTCTTGATGTACTGGTGTGCTCTGGTGCCATCCCTACCCAATTCTGATGTTTGTAGGTGTAGGAATTAACATTTTTGCAATTTGACACTGAAAGATAACTTTTCTACTGGTAGTTAATTCCCTTTTTACATAGCACAATATGCTTTTGAACTTTTTGGTACATTTTTCTCTAACTTTTTTTTCTTTTTTTTATATACACATACCAACATTTGTTATGCACTACTTTTGTATATCTTGTTTTTCCAACAGTGGATATTTTTCAGATCACTTTTTTCACAGATGGCATCTCTTTTTGCAATACCTCGATTTTTTTTCATATTCTAAAGAGAGATGAATAGTTTTTCTATGCTTATTGTTCAAAGATCTGCAAATATGGTTAACTTAATTGTGCAAAGAAATGAGTTGAAGCAATCAGTTTTGCTTTCTTTCGTTTTATTATTTTTTTCCCCTTTAACATTTGAAGGCAAGGAGAACCTTTGAATATCATGAATGTTCGGGATCAGCAATGCTGTTTGTTTGAAACTGCAGAGTCATGAAGAAAAAAAACTATAGCTAAGAAATATATAACCCTCCCAGCTTCCCCAGCACCAGGTCTAGATGTTAGTAAGTCTACAAGTAATGATGCAGAAAATATTGGGGCCTGGTTGCAATATAAGCCCAATTCCCATTGTTCAAATGTGGATTCCAGTTCCTTCCAATACTACACTGTATTTTCAACCAAAATTCTTAAAAGCATTTCATTTCGACTCTTCCTCACAGTTCCTGTATGTGTAGTACAGTAGCTGACCTGGCACAATTTACAATACAAAACACACACGGAACAATTTAGCAGTAAACTTTTGACAGATACAGATTATAAGGTGTTTGACGGTTNAAAAAAACATTTACCTGTTTTTAAATGGACAAAATAAAAACGGTTTGAACTGCCATTGAGTTACCTCAATTATAGATAGTGGTGCAGGGCTGAAATGATTAAGAAAAAAAATAAACATGCATGTGAACAAAAAAAATGTAAACTTCAAACTTGTTTATTGTGTGTTGTAAAGTTGTTTACAGGTTTAGATTTCATTTCTCACTTGCCCGTAGCATGGCAAATATATCCTCATACACAGACCTCTGCAGAATGCATGATTTTAAATCTGATCTTGTAGTTCAGGAAGGAAGGTTTTTACGAATGCCATTGGAAGGACTTGATAATTTATTCTTTGTGTGTCTGAATTTGAAGCATTTCTTACAAAGTTACAGAAGACTTGAATGTGGTAAATTGTGGAAATTAATGTCATATTGTTATGTGCAATACTTTTTTTCTAACTTCTGAAAAAATACTTTACAGTGTAAACCTTTAATGCGATTTTTTTTAATTGTAAACATTCAGATTAATATGTTGTCCACAATGTCATTTTCTACTGTTATTATATTCCCTTTTATCTTACTGATATTTGTAAAGTCAGAATATGATCTTTGTACTAATATAAATAATTGAAGTTATTTTTAGATATGGACTAAAGGAAATGTGCTTGTTTGCTTATTTTTGTTACCTTACTTTAAAAGTGGCAACGACTACTTTTCTCAGCAGCATTATAATAATTGGGTCAATATCCTGGTCCAGCCATTTTATTTTTTGGTATTTTAAATTGAAATGTATAATTAGTTTTTTATCATTTTGATCATTCAGATTTTTTATGTTGTAATATTTTTTGAATGTGTGGCTTTTTTAATATTTTAAAGTGTCTAGTTTTTATTGAAAGCTTATGTATTCAACACTGTATGGCAAATATTCCTAAAGAAAAAAATAGTTATTTGTGGAAGTCAGCCAACAGTGTTATGTCTCTGTGGCTGAATTCCTTGTGGTTTTCACTGTGTTTGGGGAGGTTGTAGTGATTAACAATTTTAAATAAAGGAAACTCATTTTTATTAATACCTGTTCACCTTTTTTGAGTTGACCTTTTATGTACCGCTCAGTTAAGTTATTTGGTACAAAAATGTCCCTTTCTACAGCTTGTTTGTTAAACTGGTAGCAAAACGTAATGTTGTTAAAGTTTTATGCCAACTATTTATAATCCTGAGCAATTTTTAAATATTTGTAATGTGAAATGTTGAATGATTAAAGTGTTTCAATGTATTGTAAATGTCTCAGCTTTATACTAACAATGGTCTGCAACTTATTTTTTCATTATTTATTTGCTTTGAATGGAATAGATAGCTAATAATTGCTTACATGCTTACATATGTTGCATGTTGAAATGTAATGAATATAGTATCCTTGTTTTTATTGAGGGTCGTCTTTGTATTCCAGTCGAATTTTTCAAAGTGGTTTTAGGGACAAGTCCAAGCAAGCTGTTGTAGGGCAGGTCAGACCTGTTCATACGAGAGATTTCTTGTAGTAAAATAATGGGTTTCGCCCACAAATGTACAGTCAATTCACTTACAGCATATTCTGTGAAACGCTTTGAGACGTTGAGAAGACGTGAAAAGCACTATATCAAATGCAAGGAATATTATTATTACTGCCTAGATTGGGAGGAAAAAAAGTTATTCAGCACAAAGCAGAAGACCCATGATAAAGAACAAGGATATATGTATTCTCTTTATGTGTGAATGCCAACTGATCCCAGTTTCCATGACTTCCTAAAAAAATAAAATCTCAGCTGTTGTGCGTTTCTTTTAAAATCTTTTTTTATATAATTTAGAAGATTTTGGAGTATTTTTTAACACAGAAAATAAATTACAAGCATTGCAGAAGCCTAACTTTTAATTTAAATTTTCAAAAAAGCCACAGATCTAGAGGGTTAATTTTGCAGAAAGGCATGTAATATCAAGGGCAGTTTTTCAGGTATATTAAGACTTGAATTAACTAGTGGCCCCCTGTAGCTCAGTGGTTAGAGCACTGAGAGACCTGAGTTCAATTCCAGGCAGAGGGCGAAACCTTGGGCAAGTTTCCTTACTCCACACAGAGCCTAATAATAATCCCTCCAAAACCAAAAACAATAATAAATTGGTCATTTTCAATCTACGACTGTTTGTGGGACATTGCTGTGCGCAATTGGCTGCCGCGTTCGCCCACAAATGTACAGTCAATTCACTTTACAGTGTGTTTTGTGAAGCGCTTTGGGACGTCCTCCCGACGTGAAAAGCGCTATATCAACTGTAAGGATTATTATTATTATAACTAAATGGGTTATGTATGTTTCATATGTTTAATCCAGATTTACACAAGTAAATATTAACTAAAAAGCTAATTTTAATAGTAGCTCAATTTGAAAAATGGCGTATACACATAGGACTTCAAGGCTTGAAAATCCTAAACTGAAAATTTGTCCCATTTTACTATACCAACCTGCTTTGTGACTCACACTCATCTTAATCGCGTCTCGCTGAGATCTTATGAATTTTAATGCTATTAATGGAGCACTCTCACAGAGTAGATGGAAAATTATGTTGTAAGCCAAGAGATTTTATTGTCACATTTCTTTGTAAGCTTAAACGCTCAAATCTCTGGTATCGCGAGTGTACACAGAACAGGAACCAACAAATTTAAATAATATATGGTGATTACCTAATGTCTCAAAGCTATGTCCTACTTCATTTGACTTTTAAATGAACCAACATAGTTGTTAAATAATGGAATTAACTGGAATTAGAAATTTGCGATCACCTTTGCTTTCAGTCAGTAGTCTAACAATCAATACTGGATTTCACCAGACTTGCAGGGACTTGACGCTTTTCAGTCTTTGAAAATAACTGAATATGTTGTGTAAATTGGCTATTTACAAAAGTAATTGATCTCATTTAGGTTAATTTCTTTTAAAATGTGAGGGGAAGTGTGCTGTGCTGAATCTGGCTGCTGAAGGAGATATTAGCACACGTTCATTAAAACAAACTGGTGCAATGTAATGTACTGGCTTTCAGGGGTCATCATTTTTGTGCAATCTTCAGGCCCTACATTACTGCGACACAGAAATGTTATTCAACAAAAAGGAAATGCCCCAGATGGGAAGCTAATATTAGATCATTGGTAAATTGGGTTTTCTCAGAAATGATCAAATGTGCTATCTTCTATAACTTGGCACTGTAAGCTTAATAATGTAATAGATTTGTTGAGGTAGAATTTTTTAATGTCAGAAAAAGAATCAGATATGTTAAATATGACAATTTGTAGTTTTTCCCCATTTAAAATGCCTTTTTCTCTTTTTTAACAATGTTAATTCTATTTCTCCTTTCACCTCACCTAACTTGGTTAACCTCATGAGCGTGCACTGGAGTTAACTGATGCACAGCTATTTGTTCCTCCTCACTATCTCTTTTTCAGCCTGAGATTTGATGAGAAAATCATAACTAAACTCACATGCCTATACAGGACCATTGTACACTGTATGCCACTTCCAAGTAAATTTTTCCTGTTTTAATCTGTAAAGCATTTGCATAGTCGATATTAACAGGCGCTAGCACAATACAGTGGAAATTAGCACCATGCATGATAAAAAGGACCAAAGATCTAGAGATGCATTTAATTTTTGGTAAATCAACATGCTGAACTCTGAAATAGAATGGTGTATGTTTTTTCAGTGATTTCCCCCCCCCACCACACTACAAGGGAAGTGTCCAGGGTTCAATTGTGCCATTGGGTGAGCTGCTGAGAGAAAGCCAGGCATTTCCTTGTAGGGACAGAAAGAAATCTGGCCAACACTTTCCAGGCTGCTATCGCATTAAACGGCCGTGTGGACCAAATACTATGAATGAGATGCTTGCTTTCTTTGATAAAAATTGGCACAGAGAGAAGGGAAGAATGTTTTTTTCCCCCATAGTGAGATTTTAAAAAAAACTTAACGAGTCTCGTGACTGAAAAGCAGTTTTTGGTAGAAAGACTTTCCAAAATATTGAAACAAAATTTAAAAATTTAAGAGTCAAAATTCCACCCGGATCTAGATTTACTGCATTCAGCTATGTGAGTGCTTTGCGATATCCTTTTGATGTGAAAGGCACAAAATAAATGTACACTGTTGTTGTTTTATGTAGCGTTTCAGCTCATCCACAATTTGGCAAATTCTTAATTGCAATCTTAATTTTGATGCCGGTTTTCTGTAAACTTTTAGGAATTGCAGAAAACCAACCTCAAATTTGAGACTGAATTTGGAAATTTGCCAAATTTTTGATGCTCTGAAATAAAACATAAATAGAGTAAATCTAGACATGGGTACAATTTCTCCCCAAACATATTTAAGTAACATTAAAACAAATTGCAGGATTGAACAGTGTGGTCTTTTACACTTACAATAATAATTCTTGCATTTGATATACTGCATTATCACATGGTTAAGACTAGTGACTTTTTGTCCAACAGCAGTTTAACATTAGCCTTGAGAAACCAACATCAGCCTTGAAGTCCAACTGCATTTTACGCACGGTGACAGATTTTAGTGTCGCCATGTTGCAATGTCATTATTACCCTTGAAATGCCAACATCAACCTTTTCCCATGAAATTGCTCATCCAGTCCAATAGAAATGTGGAAGTCATAGGAATAGCTGCTGGTAGGCAGCAATATTGCTGCTGAAAGAATCTTACAAACATAAAACAGAAAATGTACAAATTACAACCACCTTCAAATTCAAGTCCTGTAGGGTAGTGGTTAGTGTGCTCGCCTCATAAGTGAGAGGACCTGGGTTTAATTCCGGGGTGGGGTGAAACCTTAGACAGGTTTCCTTACTTCACACCTCTGTTTACCTAACAGTAAGTAGGAACGTGGTTGTTAATCAATTGGTGGATCACTTTCCAGGGATAATAATCCCTCAAAAAAATGTGGTCACTCAATCCATGACTGTTTGTAGGACTCTGCTGTGCACAATTGGCTGCCGTGTTTTTCCTACAAAATACACCCATAAATATACAGTCAATTCACTTTACAGTCTATTCTGTGAAGCGCTTTGAGACATCTTGAAGATATGAAAAGCGCTGTATCAAATGCAAGTATTATTATTATATTGAGGGTTAGTGAAGCATTCATTTCATGCCATTTGCTATCACCTTTGCTTGGCCCTTTTTGTACCATTATATACTCATTTAATTATTTTTGTCCACGTAGCTTGATTAGCAACACATAAATTAACTTCCAACTTTTCAGACCTCGTTTAGATGCAAATAGCTTTGTAATTACAATACTTTAATGGGAGCATTAATTGATACTGTATATCACCGTAAATTGCCTTGAATTTCAAATTAATGCTCTGATTTGTTTCATTATTTCTACTGATCTCTTTCATTTCTTTTTCTGCTTTTTTTATGATGCATAGGGATACACTGATGCCTATTTTCATTCACTGGAGTACTCTTTCATTGGCATGGTCACTCTCAGACTGAATGCCAAACGTCATGACTGAGTCTTGACAATGAATGTTGGCAAATTACTCAAGTGGGTGCTGTCCTCAATGGGCACACAAGTAAACCTCCAGAGATGTCTGAGGACAGGATCCCACGTTTTTTCCCGCTCCAGCCAAGAATTACTGAAACCAATATATTGCACTGCTAGTATTGTCCTGAGATATTGATTAGGTTTAGATTCCTGATATTTTTTACTAAAATGGAGATTGCTCAAGGTGGTAAGCCTTCATGATGAGGAAGGATGCTAATTAAATG